TTTCAATTCTGCATTCTTAAGTGTTTAGCACACTGATCCAGAAGCAAATTGATAATTCCAAAGTTTACTGATCTTCATCTTCTTCCTTACATAAACGACTTTAAATGAAGACAGTACTGGAGTTGAATCTACTTTTAATACTTCTTCTGACTTCTCAGAAAACAGCTGACATTTGGCTAAGTATATGCCTGTAGCCTGGTAATTACTAAAGAGGGGATGAAGGGGATATGTATACTTTAAAAAAACATGTTCAAATAATGATGTAAATGGAAAAAGAAAATAAATCTTTTGTTTTTGTATAAGAATTACGGAAAGTAAAGCTTGACAATTTTTGGCTGCATGAACATGATTTTAAAAGGTAGGGCATCTCACACATGCTTTTCTCCTAATTATGCTATTAATTCCACACAGTTGTAATAAACTAGTTAGGTCTGTGCGCAATGACCGTAAAATGGCTAAAAATAAAGGTCTGAGAAGCTTTCCTATAAACCAGGTGCTTGAGTTTTGTGATGGGAAGACTCCAGGTATACTGGCAGGTTTGTCTAATCTTGGTTCATGAAGTCCCTTACAGCCCCAGACTGTAATATCTTTTTTTTAAATTTGAAGAGCTAATTGGCGTCATTAAGCGATTGATGAAACAGGCTGCAGCCTATTTAGCCACTACAAGGGCGCTCCTGACTGTAATACGAGTATACCTCCTCTCAGCCCATCCATATCCTAAACAAGGTTTAAGATTCAAATCCTCCAAGAGCATACACCCTAACCTCCGCCTTCTCTGAATTCCAAGTGCTATTAGGAGTGTATCACAGAAAAGTTAATAATTCCCCTCTGCCCAATATTTTCTACCCTCTGCTCATAAATAACCAAAGGTTTGTCAACAACGGTAGGGAGAAACGTTAATCAAGTGCCAACTGCGTGAAAATAAGTTAACCTAGTATAACAATCACGTGGCAGCTGAGAAGTCAAAAACCTAGTTCATAAATCCAGCCTTAGTTTCTCGGTGAAAACATGTTACAGTCAACCTCTTATCTAACCAAAGGGACCCACCAAGGATGCATAAGATCTCCTGGTAGTTGTGTATGTTGGGTGGGGAGTGAGGGGTACAGAGTTGTGGTTTTCAACACCCTCAACAACAAATAGCTTTGCTTAGTCCACCCCACTTTCTGGTATCCTAATTGCCACCCCTTTTTCGCGACGGTTCCCTTCCCAAGCTGGAAACGAAGAGGTCCAAAAGGACATGGCCACTGCCCTCTGATCTAGGAGCGGAGACTCACCAGTTTCATATTGGACTTTTGATTGTTCGACACCAGTTATTCGACACCTCAAACCCAGAAGCGCTCTTCCGGTTCAAGCTCCTCCACTTGTTTGCAGAGAGCATCGCGGGACATGCAGTTTTTCTTCTCTACGCCCCCTTCTTGGGGCATCATGGGAAATGTAGTCGCCCATGTATCATGGGAACTGTAGTTATCTTTTCTTTCCCTCCCTTTCTTCTCTAAACGCCTCCTTCCGTCAGCTCAAATTCATCCCCGCCGCCAATTCATCCTCTCCACCCCAGCATGATATCATGTCCCCAGTCTGGGCCCGGGTCCCATGGCATTCTGGGATATGTAGTTCCCACGGCTCGTGCGCCCCTTTCCCCTCCTCCCTGTGGGAAGTCGGATGGGCGCGGGACTTGCCGGGAGCTGTAGTTCCCTGGGGCCTCTGGACGCCGAGTCCCGCGCTTTTACTCAAGGGAGGCAGGAACTACAACTCCCAGGGCCGCCTGGCTGCAGCAGGTGGGAGCGGGGCTGTTGATATCAATATGGCGGTTGTCAGCCAGACAAAGACAGTCAGTCTGATGTGATTGAGACAAGGGAGGTTTTCAGGGGGAGACTGGGAGATAGGGGCCTCCCCTCCCCCTTCTCCTCTTCCTGCGCGGACCTCAACCCCTCCCCAGACCCCTCCCGACAGGCGCCCCACGCGGAAGACACCCCTCCCCCTCCCGCTTTCCCTTCCTCCCTATCTCAGCCCTTCGTACCGGGACGTTGGGGAGGGGGCTGTGCCGAGCGGAGAGAACTCAGCGACGATTCCGAGGTGAGTCGAGAGGTTTTCAAGCCGGACTACCTCAAGTCTCTTTCCTCACTTCTTTCTCTTCACTTTTTTTTTTTGAGGGGTTTTGGGGCGAAAGTGAGTGGGCTGGGGATGGGTCTCTTAAGCGGCCCGATTGAGAGGAGGGAGGAAGCAGGGGGCTTCCGAGTGGGTGACCCGGACGCAGGGTCTTGGGGTGGGGCAGTTTGTGGGGGGCGGTAATTAAAAGGCGTCGGCAGCTCCCCAACTCTCTTTCTGCTCGTCTGCTTCACTATGGGCGGAAGGTTTGAATCCTGGAGGTGGGGTCTTCTGTTTGGAGTTTGGGAAACTGCGAGGTGACCCTGGAGGTGTGTGGGTTTGTTTGGGGGTGCATAACTGTTTTCAACTGTGTGACGTGTACTTGTGTGATATGTTCGTCTTGAATAAATGTCTGGAGATGGGAAGTTAGATAGCTGGAGCCATAGCTTGTAACTGGGCCTGGGCAGGGAAGCGTGCATGAGGTCTGGGTCCTGGACCTTTGGGCTGGTGGCGACGTGGTGCGGGGTGAGCAACTCGTTTGTGTCCCGTTGCCCGATCGCACTCCTCCTCCCCGCCTCCACCCCATCCCCTGGACACATCCCCACCCCAAACTACCCGCAGGAGAACTGTAGCGAGGAGGTGGTGAGGAGATGGAATTTTTGCACCCTTAAGTCGATACATAAGGTGGGAAAGGAAAAAGTGTTCTTAATATTTTATTCCGGAACCGTGTTTTGGTTACACTATAGGGGCTACTTTGAAAGGAGTCCTCCACTCACCCTCACCCCGAAACAGCAGGTAGAGAGGTATCTCATAGCCTTCGTGTTCAATAGATTAAACATTAGTTAAGATTCGTGGGCATGGGTTGGGGGGTCGGGAGTGCTGACATGTGTATGAATCTCTGTGTGTTTGCGAAAGACACAGAATGACTGTTGTCTATCTTGAGATAGGGCGACTTATTTTCGTAGTAGGAAGAACTGTTGGAAATTATTTGGAGGCGGGGGGAGGGGGGGGGGGAAGTAGCCGAAAGGCGCTGTTAGTATTTTTCTTCTACTCCACCCTGTTCTGTCTCGCATTTGTCTGAGACCTGGTATGGAAGAGTGAGGAAGCATTTGGTGAGTGAAGGGGAGAATGCAGTTGGCATTAAAGCTACTTATACTGTATAAAGTTGAATGGTATGAAGTGATTGCTTTTAAAATTTACCTTGAAGCTTTAAAAACCCTCATGTTTCATATGGCGTACAGTGATATGACTAGTTCATTTCTCTGGGATCCTGCAAGTATAGAGACCTCTGCCTTTCCTCCCTCCCTCCCTCCCTCCCTTCCTTCCTTCCTTCCTTCCTTCCCTTCCTTCTTCTTTCCTTCAGTCGTTCCTTTCTTTCTTGGCATGGTACATTTCTCTTCCTGGATGGACATAATGCCTCTTTTGCCTGTTTAGTTTGTGCTAACATGGTTGTGCTTTTTGTGGTTTTGTGTGTAAAATACATCATTAGAGGAAAAGGACCTGCATTTGTTTTTATTTTGCTTTTAGCCACAGGTAATTATCACATCAAGATTAGAGTGTTTCCCATTAAACTTATTTTAAAACCACACAACTAAGTTGTTAGATTTAGTTGAATTATGTGTATAAGTCAAGTTTGGAAAATTTGAATTCTGATTTTCTTTTTTCAAGTTTCAATGAGATTATAAAGGGAAAAAGGATTGTAACATCTCTTGTTTCTCACAGTCTTCCATATTTATTAACATTACGCCAGAAGAATTTAGGTTCATATATTTTGTACTTGCTTCAGTCTGAAATATAAGATTTTCAATAACCCTTCTCATGTGACAGATTTTTAGTGTAATGGACTTTTAAATAACCAAAGGAATTGGCATACTTTCTCATTCAGTTGTTGAGAATTTAGTGTATTTACATTTTGGCTCCAAACTTATCAATTCTTGAACCTATCAGTAAAGGACTTCAGATTCCATGAAAACTGAAAGTCACAGCAATGTAATATGTAATTTTATGGTATGTTTTATAACCTTTTATTTGAAATTTCTGCAGTTGATCATTCACACAGATAAGCTGACTAGAAGCGTGAGGTAGCATATATATTTAGTTTGACCTGAATAGGAAAAAAAATGATGTCTTCTAAATTTCGAATTTAGAATATAGAATATATTGATACAAAGCTGAGCCTTTAGTTTGTTATAGACTAAGATTTCCAGACTTTTTAAACCTTCTATCTTAACCTGAAACATCACTTTGCAAAAACTGGAGAAAAATACTAAATAACTACATAATAGAGTGTTGTTTTTTTTGCTGAAAGATACTCTGTTAAGACATAGGATATTAAATTTCAATAATTGTTTTAGAAATATAAATTAAAATATTTGTTAAGAGTTGGAAGAGATGAGTATTTTTTCTTCCACCCACCCTTCAGTTTCCTTTTGTTTGTTTTCTTCTATGGAAATGCAAAGTTACTGGGAAAAGCTTTCATTAAACTTTCCCTGTCTAGTAGTTTGGTTGAAATAATTATAAGTAAACCAAATGTATTCCTTGCATTTGTTGGGATTATTCTGTTGTATTTTAAGCACCGAGCATTAAAATGATATAAAGCCTCTACTGCAGGGTAAAGCATAAAACATTCTCAGCATGTGGAAGTCATATGGTTTACGAAAAAAGTAGAAAAATCAGGGCATTGGTGCCTGTCCAGCTTAAGATTTCATCCCGTAACTGTGAAGGACACAAATATGATTGCTTCTAAAAATGTTTCCTGTATTATGGGAAGTTGAAAATCCAAACTGTTTTTAACCAATCTGTTGCTAGTTTAGTGTACTGCATATCGGGAACACTGTGGCTGCAAATGTGCCTTAAGAAGCCTTTAGGGGTCAGCTTTATGTTGAATGTCTTTAGTGAAGCTTCATTTTCAGGACTGTACTAAGAGATTTCAGTCCCCTTAGCACAAATCCTTGGTTAAAGCATCACTCATAGAAACTTAATAGCTCAGTGTTGGTAAGTTACAAAATACATTGCAACAAATCTCTCCTTTGTTCATCATTTAAAAGATTAGAAGTAGCCAATTTATGGCTACTTTTGTGGCAAATATTAATTGGAATGGCATTGCTTGTTTCAGTAAATGTTGAACACATTGGAATTATTTATGCCTAATTTGTTCATTTTGGATCTTTTATATATTATATTCAGTCTATCCCACTTTTAATGTTTCAGACAGCTTCATGTTTCCTGTAAAGCCGTGTTTGCTTTTCCTGTTCATTTCACTGCAGCTCTTCTATTATTTTTATATTCAGATCTTTAAACTTGAATTATTTCTTTTGGAATTAGAAATTTATCCTACATTGTCATTGTTTGTAAATGTAAATTGGTGTATCCCTCAACTTTAGAAATGTAAACATTTATAAAGATGCTCAGTGGAAATGTGCTGTCTTTGTTTTATGAACCTTTATTTAGATTTTTTTGGCTCCAGAATTAATTTTATAGCTCCCTTTGCTCCTTGGCTAGATTTTTCTCTTAATTGCTGGCTTTTACTTCTCAATTTAGTAGAACTTTAATTTCTAAAATGGTTGTTATGAGTGGAAATCCTAGCTTGTCAAGAGTGTTATATATGTATATTCACATATACACTCACATGTGAAATACCTTTATGTTTGCCTTTATATGAAATTAGTATGTACCTATCAAACATGCAACCCATACAAAAGGAAGCTAAACCACAAATAACAGGAGACTAAAGAGTGGCTCAAGCTGGAAACCACCGCCACATACTGTCCACATTACATAAGTGATGGAGATTTTCATTATCATTGTAAACCATTACTTTAACAGATCCTGCCAAAATCTAGTTCTCTTACAATGGAAGCTATTGGTATTGAAGCTTTTTCTCAAAATAATATTAAATAATATGTGACTTAGATTCCTAGGTGCAGCTGTCTCTCTTCTCCCCCCTCCCCCCCTTGACCTTTACTGGACTTTTAAGACCCATCATAAATACACAGAGTAAAGATTTTTCCGAGTGATTATTCGACGTAAAACTTTTAGCTGGAGTCTATTTAAACATAATCCAGTGCTTTAGATAACTTGTTTTTCTTGATCTTAGATGAAACAAGTTGGAAATTTACTATAACATTGCCTTGGACACTTTCCAAGAGCATTTAGTTACTGGAAGGCCCTGGCTTTTTTACCCTTATAGTGGTAATAAGGTTGAAGTTACAGTAAGTTTTTCCAATGATTATTATAATCTTAATGCAGTATTTTATAGATCCTTGACTTGGGCTATAAGGATAATGTTTTTTTTGTTTGTTTTGTTTATTTTTTTTTTATATTTACAAACAAGGAGAAAGAAGAACAATAGTTGATTTAACTTTGAAGTAATGTTCTTTTCCTTTTTTTGAATCCTAAAACAGGTGGTCACAGACCCCTCCTTATAATTGATGAAATTAGGATCAAATCTACTCACAAGACATTTAGATTTTTCTTAAACTTAGAGTACTGATTATGATAAGAATGTTTACTAAATTCCACACACTGGATATACCTGTATTGTCTGTAGCTTCTCTGTCTGTCTTTTGTTCAGTGGTTTATCAGCGGTCCACATGTGGTTTATCGAAAACATTTAATAGCTCTCTCTACTGTATGCATATTAAACAGCATGGAGTTACCAAGGGGCAGTGATTTTAACATAAGTCACTTTTTTCAAAGAGGGGAAATTGAAATGCTGTGGCTATTGCTAAAATGAGGATGACTTAAGGTTGAAACAATCTGCTTTAAGATATTGATAAATTTAGTAGTATGATTAGAATATGAAGCTATTGGGTTGGGCCTAGTGGTTCAAGCTATGGAATCTCACCCTCTCCACCCAGTCATGAAATCGAGATGATTTTGTATCCTTTGCATTTATCTGTTCACTTCTTTTCATTCCATTGCTATTCCTTTAATTCAAGCCTTCATCATTTCTGGATTGCTACATCAGTCTCTTAACTAACCTTCCT